AGGTCCCCCCAGCCCACCCCACCACGTGTCAGGTGAGGGGCACACCAGGCACAAACCCATGGGAAATGCCCATTCTGCAGTCTCATGCTTGCACGTGCAAATGCAACTTGCTAGTGAACATGTCCCTGCTTCCCCTTCGCTTTCCTCTTGCTGGAGCTGCTTCAGGTTGAACCTTTACACCTGCTCAGAGGTGCTCAGTTTTCAAGCCCTGGATCAGCCCTGCCCCTCTAGTTTCTGGCCAAGCAGTAGCTATCACAGCAGCGTTTGGCAAGCAATGGGTAGAGATGTGTGCTTAAAAGCCTGTCCTTGTATATTCCAGGCAAGCTCCACAATCTGTGCTTTTACTACAGGAAAATTTAGGAGCCCGAACAGGCTGATAGTGCCCCCTCTGAGAAGAAATTAATAGAAAAATATGGGTTACATAGAAAAGAGCACTTGTACTAGTGTCACCGGAAGTGAAGAAAGAAGCTACCGTCTCCCAAAGCAGGAAAACAGAAACATTTTGTAATTCACATCACTTAATAGCTAGGAAGAGGAGCAATTAAAGGGAGCTGTCTAAGTAACCACAGCAGAAAAGTCAGGGGGTAGACAGAAAACTTTTGAAGAGAAGTCCCTGGGCTGCTTATTTCAAACAGAAGGGCCTCAGAAAACACAGAAGTAGGGGGAAAGGGCAGTTGCAGATGTTAGATACAGCAAAGTATCTGAAAGTGGGACTGAAGGGATAGGTGAGGAGACTGAGGAAACTTCATTTCTGAAAAGCGAAGAGCCAGCAGGAGCTGAAGTGCCCTATAGTGCCTCTGAATGTAAAGGAGGAGAGGGTGACAAGCTGAAACTGGAAATCAGAAAGAAGGTTCAGGAGTAGAAATTTATTTATATTGGAGTATTTCTTTATCTACACAAACTCTCAGTCACACAGGGCAACCAGAGCAGGACAACTGCAAGCACTGCCTTTGCTCAGGCAGCCTGCCATCGCTGAGCCCTGAGCATCTCAGATACAGGGACAGAAGTCACAAGAGGTGAGAAGCATTCAAGCAAAAATCCTCCCAGAAGGTTTTAGAAATGACAAATTAAAGCTCTGCATGAAAAGCCATGGAGAAAGGGAGTAGGACAGAAGGATATTAAGCCAATGTTTCATTTTGGCTATAAAACCCACCTGAGTGTGGAGGGCCAGCACAAAGCCTACGTGCATCATTGACAGTATTAATTTACCATCCAAGAGCTGTTTTGCAGCTGGAAGTGGGCTCTCTGTGCACATCATGCTTTGCTCCTTGGTGGGGAGCAAGCTGTGCCCAGGAAGGCAGCCGGCTACCCGCCTGGGGAAGCATCCTTCACCCTCCCTGCCGGCAAAGCCCTGGGGTGCATAGGCTGACTGACAGGGTAGCAGTGAGCTGGGAAACGCAGAGGTTAGAGGAGGAGGGTGGGACTTAATTCAGCACGTCCATATCCCAGGGATATTGCTATTGGATGCATCAAGTTCTGGCTGCATGTGGTGCAGGTGAAAATGGCACAAGAGGATCTAGATTCATTTGTGGTCAGAAGTTTCTTCCAGTAGACTGGAAAAATAATCAGAAATAATGTAGGAAGGCTGAAAGTAAGCTGCAAAGGGCACTGCTGGTTTGTGCTGGGTTTGCAGCCCCATGAACCACATGGAAAAGCTGCGTGCCGCGAAGCTGAATAGCCACCTGGCAAATAGCTCTGCTTTCTCCTGGTGACCAAAGGCACCCCACCTCATGCCACTTTTTCTGCAGGAAGCAGGACATTGAGCCATGGTACTAAGTTGAACACAAGATGGTGGTACTAAAATATTATCAATGAATAAACTCTCATGGCAGTTTTTAATCCTTAGAGTCTGATAGGTAAATAAGTATAATGTTTTTTCAGTAGACAGGAAAAGAAAGCACAGAAAAACTGACCAATTTACTCACTAAACCCCTGACACTCAGTAGCAGATCTAGCAACAAAACAGCAACCTCTTACTCATTTCTGTGTCACGTGCTACAGGCTTGAAATTGGTACAGAAGCTAAGAGAACTTACATAGAGTATTACTTATAAAAGCAGTTAAGAAAATGTACTTAGGTAAAGGAAATAATACTGTTCTACTTAGAAAAAGAGAGGAAGAAAGGAAACCATTACCTTCCCGAAGCAGAAGCGCCTGCTCCACTTTGCTGTTGGGTACGGCAAGATCCAGGGCACATTTGAGTTCAGCATTTCTGCATTTCGGGTTAGCACCATAGTCTGTCAGCAAGACAACTACCTCCACGCTGGATTTCCTTGCTGCCGCGTGGAGAGGGGTGTCTAATCTCTTCCCCATGTTAACGTTGGCTCCTTTGAGTGAACAAGAGTGCACGGTTAGATCCGGGAGGCAGCAGGAACTGTCCGAACCCACGTCACACAGGCTGGTTTCCACCAGTAGCCTCAATAAATGAAGGGGATGATGGCACACAGGCCTCCCTCATTTCTCTCAATAGCAGCAGTGCAAAATTTATCAGGTCAAATACCTGCTGTATAAATGTCCCCTGAGCCACTGAACCCTGTCTGTGATGAAGAGAACTGAGCAGCTTGACCTTCAACCCAATAGATGTTCAAAGCCTACCATATGCTCTGTAAATTTGTTAATAACATAAAATCTAACATAGATTATGTTAATTGAATTACTGAGGGGAAAAAAGTCCCTTTATGTATCTCATTGTAATAACTCCAGGAGCACGGCAAGCAAAATGCTTGCCCTGGGCTCTCCAGGCACAGCAGGGCCACACTTTGAGTAGGTGTAAGTCAGCCAATGTACACTGACAGCAAAAATTTGTGCTAGCTCATAGGCTGTGCCTGGACTTGCAGTGATTATTCTTTCAAGCAGCTTTACTGCTGTCTTCATCATCCACTGTGAAGCAGGTGAAATTAATGCTTACTATGGCAGTTTATCATACTCAAGAGTTGATTTTGGTCACTAATATTAGCCAGCATTGTCTGTGCTTCCTGTTATCATTCTAGAAAACTAAAAGTATTTTGTTTTCACATTCAGACAGTCTCAGGGAGGTCGCTGTAATTAGGGCTTTTTTTTTACTGAGGAAATCATAAATTCTTCGTGAATGCAGGTGAAATTTTTAATAGCCTCAAAAGAGTATCACAGACTGGTGCTGCCCAAGCACCCCTTGTGGAAATAACCCGTGATGTTTGCAGTGGAGCGGCAGCCCAGAGAGACCAGCAGCACTGGCTCACACCACCACAGCTCTCCCCTGGCCCCTTTTCCAGGTGTACCTAGCTCCAAAAGCTTCTTCACGCAGTCTGTCCTCTGGTATGTGCAAGCCACGTAGAGCAGGGTCCCATGCTGCAGGTCTTCTTGGTCAATGTCAACCTCATGGGCCAGAAGGGTCTCCATGCACTCCCTGTGACCTGTGGAGAGAAGAGCCGTCATTTAAAGTGCCATAGAGCAGAATACACCCAGATACAACCAATGAGGCACAAAAGCTGGGAATAAGCCAAGCCTATTTATCCATACCAGTATGGACAAGAATTTTTGGGGAAAATATTTTAACATCAATAAAAGATGTATTCCTCAGTTATTATTAGCTTCACTCACAGCCTGAATGTTACCTCTCTTGACCGCTTCGTGAATGGGTGATGCAAGATGGTTCCTGAGCTGCGGCTTGGCTCCAAATTCGAGCAGCATGTTGACACAGGCCACACTGCCACTGCAGCAGGCATTAAACAGAGGAGTGATCCCATCGATGGTGACTGCGTTGACCTGGAACAGCAAAGATGCTCAGGATAATCTGATTTAAGAGGAATGCCCTTGCAGTGTGTCTCATGTGCACACCAGAAATGCATCAGAAAAAGACAGTTGTTTAATTTCAGAATTGATTTTGCTAATAACTTTCAGAGTTATATGTTGTGGCACAACTTACACAACATTCTCCTTTGAGGTCTGCCCTCTTTCCCAGATAGCTAGTGCCATAAGGCAGTGACACTGCCTGCTATGAATGATCCTCCTAGAGTTGCTCAGAAAATGCAAATTTTTTTTTTTTTTTTATGTGGAGAACTTGAGTACCTTCATGACTGTCTAGTTTGCACTGACCCAAAGCCAGAATATGCTCAGATGAAAATGGCTTTGCTTTTTAAATGAAAACATTTACTTCATGTTTAATACTTTCACCTGAAAACACATTTCCAGCAAAAGAAATTTTCCTGGAAACATACTCTTAATCCCAAACACAAAAGGAGCTTGAAAGAGTTTGTGTTCATATGCATGTTTGTGTGTGTGTGTGTGTGTGTGTAAGAAAGAATTTCTTTCCTCCACCTCCGATGTAAAGACCTGGCAAGAACCACTGTCCGTCATCCTCCATGGGACAGCACAGTCCCTGGCTTGCGTTGTGCACAGCACCGTAGCTGTTATGTTTAACTATGTAGCAAGCCCTCAGAGGCAATTTATGCAGCAAATCTGCATGTGTTTAATTCTGTGGCACACTGGAGAAGAGCAATGGATTATGCAAGCATGTGGCAATTTGTGGTATTTCCAAATGAGGGAGAAGAGGAAAGAGACGGGAGAGGAAGGGCTGGAGAAGTCCTGGGCCACCGGGGAAGTCGGAGGACTTTGCTACCAGTGCAAGCACAGAAGCTGCATTGCAAAGGGTTTGGAGCACCAGGGTAGAAAAACCTTAGCTCACACAATTTAACTAGCAAGATATTTTGCCTTTAAAGCAGAGAAAGGCAGTGATGTTTAAGAACCTATTGGTTTATTCTGGGTAATTCAGCAAGTGTACCATCTGCAGTTGATACCTTCCTAGATATCATTTGTCCTTGTTCATTTGAACTACTGACTTGTTTACAACGCTGTATGAGTTAACTCCTTTTTTCACAAGGTGCTTTTCCCACAATTACAAGCCAGTCTTTGCCATTTCCAGGGTTCCAGTCCTTGCCGTCTTCAGCGGGCTCCAACTGTGTAGCAGCCTGTGCAAGGCCACGCTCCCCCACATGAAGCTGCATTCAGGCAGGTACTGCAATTCTAAACCTGCAATTAGGCAGGTACACTGGAGGAGGCAGCCCCTGCTCCTTGGTGCTTCCTCTGCTTGCTCACTTTCATTGAAAACCAGGGGAGGGAACAGACCTGGCTGGAAAATAATCATGACAGGGCCAGGAGGTGGGCAAGCTGGCATGGTATGGGGAGATACCAGGTACCACAGCATGGTGGACATCTGTCTGCTCAGGTTTTGGAGCCCAAAAGGCATCTTGCTCTTCCTGAAATTGCAAGGCTCCAACTAAGGCTCTGTTTCAACAGCATCATCACTACAGATCCCAGCCTATTCCTTGATCTTCCTCCCCTCCTGCTAATTGCTGAGCTAAACTATCCCTCATCCTGCAGTGCTTCTCAAACAATAAAAGGAAATAAACAGATATGCTTTGGGGGTATTTCAGACAGATTACATGCTGCAGCCCTGCAGCCCGTCACTCTGTGATGTCACTCCCCCCAGTCTCATCAGGCAGATGTGGCTGGAGCTGCTGGAGGCACTGGGGGTCTATCAGCATCATTTCACAACAGGCCCAGCAATTCAGGCAAGCTGATAACCAAGGGTAAGCAGGGAGGTAAGTGAGAAATAAAAATTACTTCCTTGTTTTCCCTTTCTACTGGGCATTGGTTTAACTTGTAAAAGAAGAAAGAATGGTAAAACACCTGTTGTGGAGTAAATGGTTTGGTAAAAAAAGGAAATAAAGAAGAGCACAGCAATAAAGGAGAGCAGCAGAAGAGCACATTTTCCCCCAGAAGTTAGACAACAGCCTGCTGACTTTATTTATAGGATCACAGGGTCATAGGATCATTCAGCTTAGAAAAGACCTTTAAGATCACCAAGTCCAACCATTAACCTAACACTACCAAGTCCACCACTAAACCAATTAAGGCTAGAGTAATAATTAATTTCATGTTTCCTGGCTTGGTGGCTGGATTTTTTTTTTAATGAAAGTAAAACTAGTATAGAATCATTAAGGTTGGAAAAGACCTCTAAGATCATCAGTCCAATTGTCAACCCAACACCACCATGCCCACTAAACCATGTCCCAAAGTGCCACGCCTACTCGTTTTTTGAACACTTCTACAGATGGCGACTCCACCACCTCTCTGGGCAGCCTGTTCCAATGCTTGACCACTCTTTCAGTAAAGAAATTTTTCTTAATATCCAATCTAAACCTTCCCTGATGCAACTTCAGGACATTTCCTCTTGTCCATATAAACAGAGAGCAGGGGAAAAGCAAATACCAAAAAACACCAGAGCTGTATATTATACCAGGAACAGGCTGATTTCTTAGGAAAGTAACAGGTAGTTCAGAGACAATTTCTCCGAGTTATAAAAAGGCAATGTCATTAATATACCATAATAAAGTAAAATCAAGCAGAAAGGGATTTTCCTTCCATCTTTCTAAGGGATCGAAATTTGGCATACAGTTTAGGAAGTTAACAAATTTATTTTCTTTTACAGAGGATAGCTTGATTGCCTGTTATGGTGTTGCTCAGTTTCTTGCCATATAAATTGTACTTGAAAACACAGCTGAATTAAATATATTCTTATATATTTCATCCATTCCTGTATCTCCATTTTTAACATGTATTCTACCTTAGGTCTGACTGGGGGAAATGTTTTTTTATTAGCAGATAAACTGTTTCATTGCTTTAAGCACATCTATGTTTACTTATGTGAGACTCCCAAACCATCCCACAGAAAACCAGAGGCAATCCCAGTGATTGTTACGGGGGGGAAAAAAGGGGTAAGTCATTTTCTTCAAGGTTATTTTCACCTAGCATCTCTCATTCCTTTTCCATCAATCATGACCATGTTTCACATACAGAGGGAAAACAAAACAGAATAACGGGGTGACCCAAGCAACCACTGGGGGAAGGCAAATGCATTACCCATGGAAACAAAACACTGTTTTATTTTTCCCCGTTTCTGCCTGGAATACTCCTGTCCATCCGCAGCCTGGCCCTGCCCCACAGGCAGCCTATCCAACATCCCCACTGATGCAGGGAGCATCCATGCTCCAGGCTCCCGCATCCCCGCCAGCGTCCCCAGGACTCACCTGAGCGCCGTTCTCCAGCAGAACCTTTGCGCAGGCGACGTGGCCACCCAGGCAGGCCTCGTGGAGAGCCGACACACGGTCCGTCGTCACCAGATTCACATCGAAACCCTGCAATGCAGGGCGGGGGGCGTGAGGGGAAAGACCTGCCCAAACCATGCAGCTCCCCCGCGGGTGCAAAGGGCAGTCAGGCTGAGGTGGGGGAGAGCCACGTCGATGGTTGCGTGTCCAGGGAAGGTGCATGGGTTGGATTAATGCTGTTCAGTGCTTCGGTGCCCATCCCCAAAGATGGCAGCTGGTGATGGGGTTAAAGAGGAAGCAAGGACAAGCTATGCCTTTTATTTCTAGTTCTTTATGATGCATGGTCAATCACAAGAAAGACATCACATTTCTTTGTCTTATAAGGGTGGCATTACTTTCCTTATTAAGTCCAGCACCAGGAGCTACAGCTGGTGGGATTTACCTCCTTGAACGGGGATGCCTCTGGCACAGGTATCAGCAGCTCGTCTGGAGCCCTCAGCTCCTTCAGTGGGAAGAAACGGGCTCCCCTAGATTATGATTCATCCCATGAATCCATCCATGTTAAACCAGCTGTTTCTAGTAGGTTAGATGAATTGTGTCCTAAAAATACTTCCACTGACTATATGGGGGGCCCAGAGTGTTTCACTCACAGGTAGTAAGTACCTGGTAAACCCATAAGATGGATGAGACAAATCCCACCTACAAATCAGTTCCTCTTATTTGACTACCCAAGAAATGTTTTACACTGGAAGAAAAAACTGTGATTTACAAATGACTTATTAGTGGTATTTCCCTAAATGACAGTTCTTACATCTATTCCTGCACAAACAGAAACCAGACATATTCACAAAGGAGAAAGAAATTGTCACATTTATTTTTCCCAGGAATGCAGCTAAATCTTCTGGTAATTAAGATTTTACAACCATGTGTGAGAACATGTCTAGAAGCAGCTCCATTTTCCACTTGATGTCTTATATTTTGTAACACAGTTGATCTCTACCTGATGTGCTATAAACTAGGCTGCTCACAAGATGGCAGCAATGCACTTTTTGGTACACGAATGCTATGGGCAGAAAGAAGTATCTGTGAGCAATGTAACACTGTAAAAAAGTCACCAGTCCCGATGCAATGAGCATTAAAAGCAACCACTGTAATTATTGTAAGCTAGAAATCCTATGATAGAAAAATAATCATTTTTCAGTCACGTGAAAGCATTATTAATGTAAAAGCTGTCACTAAAAATTTCCCGTACATTAAATCAGTGCCAGGGGAATAGATAAAACCTTGAAAAAACATTGAGATTATTCCATTTCGAATTGTACAGATGTTTCATACTTAATGATCAGAATATTCCTTCAAGAGGAATATCTTCTAGAGACTCCTGATAAGGAGACCTATTCTCAGTCATTTTTCAGATATATGTATTTAACAAATGAAACAATCATTGCAAGCAAAAGGGTAAGTATTGATATCTTGGGCAAAACAGCAACCCCTTCCATTACAAAATGGAGAACGAATTATAGGTCTTACTATAGCTGTTTGTCAAACATTGTTCATGTTAAGCCTTGTTTTCAATGTCTATGAAAAACCAAACTCTTCTTTTGGTGCTGGAACAGGCATTGCTGAGTTCTTGAGCTCTTCTAAAACTCCAGTGCTCCATCGTCTCCTTATGTCTAGGCATCCCCTGGGGAGCAGAAGCCCCACTGGCTTTCTTGAAAGCAGTGGTCCTACAGCAGAGACTTCTGAGTGTCCCACATATACCCTAAGGTATAGCTCCATATTTAATTTTAGGCTAGTAGTGTAACTATACTAGAAGCAATGAGCAATGATTATGCTGCTCCATAAACATCTTCATCCCTACATTTATCAAGCTGTGGTGAACCAGCTCCAATTCAGTCTCTACAGACATTGCTGCCTTGATCTCTTTTCATCAGCAAGGACCCTAATCCTTCACTCCCAAAATTAAATGTCTTCAGGAGAAGGAGAAAGGGTGGATTAACTAAATGATGTACAACCACACCACTGGGTGCTTCATGTGTAACCATGACCAGTGTATAACCAGGGCATCTAGTGTATAACCGCAACACCGGGTGCCCACTAATAAGATGGTGTAAGGTCAGCATAAACAAGAGATAGAGGGAATCAGAAATCCCCAAAACCTTGAATGAATAAGCCATCTTCCTTATTATCCCTAACCTCCATCACTTCCTTTTCCATAAAAATCATTTGATATCAGCAGGTGAAGGAAAGAGGGATCAGGAAATGGGAGGGGGAATACTGGCTGTAAACAGCAACCTTTTAGCTGCAGCCATGCCTCGATAGATGTCTGGAGTGGAGGCTTTCACACCGGCAGCTCCACTCCTTTAGGACATTGTCCATTCGAGCTGTGGCCTCACTGGTAAAAATGATTTACCTTGAATATAAAAAGTCTGATGGCCAAGTCACAGAGCTTACACTCAGGGAATTAATTTCCCTGCAGTTGTCTTGATTGGGGTGAGGGGAGTTGCTCATTCATGCCAGATGAGGGCATTGAGTTTAAGCAGAGGTGGTAAGGAAGGTGGTTGGCAAAGCACAAAGAACCATAACCTGTTCCTTTACAGCTGCCCACTTTCATATCCAGATTCTTATCCTTTCTAGTATATTCTTTCCTCTTCTCTTTCTTTTGCCTGCACTCTTGGTTTCATTTGGAGCAGAGGACTTCAGGCTGAACAGGTCTCTCTTCAGAAAGACCATGCTTGCTGTTTTATAAAGCAAGACGTACTTTTTCAGCTTTCTACTGATCTTTTTAAATAGCTGATATATATATTGTCTCTGTTTTCAAGCCCAGATTGCATGGTTCATCATTGAGAAAGAGCCCAAGGATCATTGTTTATCATACAGTAAGCCACAAGCTGTAACAGTCTTTGTCCTGTGCTTGTCCCCAGCATCCTAACTAAGCAAACTAGTACATGCCCAAAGGCGTGCATGCAGATATATTATTTATACAGCTGTATTTCTTATGCCCTGCTGCAGTCTATTACCAGCTCACCAACTCACAGATGCAATTCAACAGAAACTACACTACTTCCCCACCTTTTCTTTACCTGTGGGCTTTTACCTGTGCAATCAAGGTTTTCAAAGACAGGAGGCGTCCTTGGAAGGCAGCATCATGAAGAGGGGATCGGTCTGCCCAGCTGCCTGAAACAGCAAATGCATAAGTTAATTCAGGTAAGCAGCAAAAGCAGATCCTGGGAGGACAGGGAAAAAACAGCTGCATGTAAATGCAGATCGGGATGGAAATCAATGCGGGGTCAGCAGTGAAACTGTTTGATAAATTGATTTCAGCAGAGCAGCTGAGGGCTCAGCACTCCTGAGAAAGCTGGTCGCTCGCTAAGGGACCTAAACAAAAGCTTCTTGGCAGAACTTTTAAAACCAGCTAAAAACATGCTTCAGCAAAGACCACAAGTTTAGTGCTGCTGGGGCTCACCCGGGGACTTGAGAGCCCTGCAATTCTCCTATTCAAAATAGTATCAGCCTCTGTCTTTCCTAGGGAGCTTTTGTCACAAATCGTATTCTGGCTTCTCTTGCACTTTGTTAAGAGTCTCATAGCAGGGAGACACAGGGATGACTTGTCCATCAAATGAATTCTGTCATGTCCCAGGCAGTTTTATTTCCTGAACTGACAATTTCATAAATAATATCCTCCAGCTCAGACTACTAGGTAATAGGTTTCATCCTCCTCCTGATGGGAAGGTTTCAGAAAAGACACGCAAAAATAAATTCTGCCTGAGGCTTTACTTTTCTTCCTTAATCATTTTGAGTTGTTGAACTGTTCAGACTCCTTCATGTAGGCTAGGCTTGCCTTTTTTCTTATCTTTATTCATGTGCCAAGAAAAAAAATTCCTTAGCCTAACTACTACCTACAGGCATAGTCAGTCAGCCCAGGTTAAATCCCTGCAACTCAAGCAGACAGCAAATTTACTTGTCCTGTATTAAAATTTATAACCATACCGCGACACAGTGTGTAGTAAGTATTTCTCCAAAGGCCAGGTGCATTTACAGTGCCACAGGATAGAAGCAATAGCAGTGTTTGCATTCATGCTCTGTTGTACAGCAACCCCATGAGCACTGTATTTGAAACCCTTGTCCTGTTTAATTTTTTCAGCTACACCGCACACCAGAGAGAATGGAAAGGGTGATTTATCTCCATTTCAGGTGTTACCCAAGGCAGGGAGAAATCAATGAGAGGCACAGACACATCCCTGGACACTTAGGGCCAAGGACACAGCAGAGGTTTCAGCCTTGGCCAAGGGAGTGTCCTTTTGTTACCCGAGAACTGGGATGCACTTCACCTCAGGGGGTTATGGTTTTAACTACAGTTATTACTTTTGCTTCCATTTATTTAAGGAGCTGTTATTGGCCTCCTGAGGCAGGAAGCTGGCATGGAAAGACCAGCCAGCACAATATATGACCAGGTTCCTAAGGACCAAGTAGGACACACCAGGCAAAATGATGAAAACAGGAACCAGGTAGGGACTGAGAAACATTTTCTTGAAAACATCCAAAAAACCCCACATCCTTCACCATGCTGGTGACTGAAATAGGCAAGGTCAGTTCAGAAGGTCAAAAGACTTTGCAAGTGACAAAAACCAGGGCCCTTACACGGGAGGAAGATTCAGAAGTAACTCAGACTACAGAGCTACAGTGCCTTATTTAACCTTCCATGCATAGAGCATAGCATGTGCAAGCACACGTCACATGCATTTACAATGCATGTGTATGCGCACACATGCCTCACCATGAAAACACATGCTGCTGCGTACTTCCATGCTAGCCACAGCAACCTACCTCCCTGAAACGTGTGGCAAATATAGCTGCCATACGGGGCACATCTTCCCTTCACAGTTGTGAGTGACATGTCTGAAAATACTGTGTCTTTTTAAATGTCTACAGATAAATTAAGCCGCCCTGGTGCTGCTGCTGCGCTACTTCACTGCAAAGAGAAAAGGCTGTGAAGCTCCACCTGTAACCCAATATAGTGCCCCAGCAACAGCATCACATGATCTAATGTTTTGTAAGATTATCCTTAATGGCTTTTTGCAAATGGCAGCTAGAAGATAAAAATATGTTGTGCTCTGCTAAACTTCAAGGCACTCTACATGAAGGAAAAACTGCTGTTTGCCACGTGTCTGACTACAATTGCATGAAGGAACTTGGAAAAAAATGACAGTAATAAATTATTGGAAACATATTCTGGAGAATAACAAATAAATTAATAATTCAGACATGCCTGTATATCAAGGTTTTGTAAAAAATGCTTTGCCGCAGTATTTCTCTTGGCCAGATCTTAATCTCTCTGCTTTGGGTGGCCATCTCACACCACCCATGTTCTGCTCACGTTCATGTGCCTGTTCATGGCGGCACTATTCATCATGAAGCAAGTGCCCAACAAATGAGTCACATAAAAATCTGTGATGTCACAGTGCTGATATGAATCTTCAAGTAGGAAAATATGCCCTCATTAGTGGTAAATGTAAAATACTGTGTCATTTTAATTAGTGGAATTACCAGGCATGCAAATGCATGTCTACTCATTATTATGGCAGTGAAGTGAAGGAGTAAAATCACTTAAAAAAACCAACCCAAAGTAAATTACTTACTAAATAGCCTACTAAATACAATATATTCCCGTGTCGTATATTTTTCAGAGTAATTTTAGCTGTATTCGTTTTTATCATCTGATTTAACAAAACAGGACTTCTTGGCTTGGATTCAAAAAGTCATTAGTTATATCCTCCTAGTATCTCCTTTCAGAAAATCAACATGCTAAAACTTTTCCCTAAATATTCTCTGACAGTAAAGCTAGCTATTTAGTAAAACCATCTATAACCCCTGCTAAAGAATGCCTTGCTTCCGAGAACAATCTTTTTATTTACATAGTGCCTTAAGCAAATGTTGTCCTCATTCTAGCTGGGTAATTGTTGGAGTCTCATATTTTGCACACCTAAATCATGCCAACACATACTGACACTGTAAAGACCCCAGAAATGGAAGGCACTTCGGGTTAAAACATTCATCCATGCATTTAGCAACAGATTCCTCATTTCATGGAAGCTCAATGATTTAAACCCTCAAGTTACAAAAATGGAGCAAATATACATTTAAATGTTAGTGTCCATATTTTTACTTTACCTGGGACTATTCCATAGATCTCTTCTGCTATCCTGGCAGCCTCTTTTCTGTTGCCTTTAACAATATAGAAATGGGTCAGCAAAGCCAAGGAAATCTTAATTAAAAGCTTGAAGCAAAACAAAGCAAAAATGGCAAAATAAATGTTAGTGAAAGCATGGAGTATAGAACTGCCCTCCATTTTGGTTTCTCTTTGAATAGTTTCTCAGGTCGGCTAAGTTGCACCGGGCTATTCTTGGTATCGTATGTCATCTATTTTAAACTCTCCAGAACCTGCTGTTCCTCAGTTCCCAAAAATACATTCTGGTTTTATTTGGTATGGGCTATTTGATACTAAGTAACAATACCAAGGATAAGATAGTTTGAACATCCGGTGCCATACAGGAAACAAACAGAAAATCCTTTCCAAACCCACATGAACTAGAATAAATTTTCAGATAAATGCTCTCCATACCACCTGAAAGCCTATACATCCACATTATATTTGTTCTTTGATGTAGCAGTTCCATTTACAAAGGCTGCATAGGTAAAGCTGCAGAAATTGTTCAGAGATACTGCAAAAAGAACACTTTCCTGTCTTTCCCATCTTGGTAACAGGCCTTCCTGGTACTCAGGTACAGAACAAAGGCAAGCATATCAAAGAAAAGCATTATCATGAAAGAATCTGAAATAAACCCACATATTTTCAAAGCCAGAAGTCAAAATTTTTCTAGGAGGGGAAAAAATACATTGAAAGTGTGTAATCAGAAACACATAACATACGGGTATTTTCCATCACTCAGGGATAAAGAATGGTGTCCATTAATATCTCCTGCAAACAACATCTTATTGTTTTGAAAGAATGGAAATATTTTTACATTATCTATCATCAATTCAAAGGTGCAGCATTTGAAACTGAAGAAGATGAACCTTTTCTTTAACTGCCCTTTTTTCTTTCTGAAGCCACATGGCTTCCATAGAGTATTTTTTCTGCATGTAATTAATTGAATCTATGTAGAATACCCCATCTCCTTTTCATTTAAACTTTTCTTGATTCCTATTTTCCTATATTCACAGCAAGAGGGAGATTTCTTTCTTTCTTTGAATCCCCTCCTTGCCCAGGATCTCTTACCCTTCAATTTACATACCTGTCAAGAGAAAGAGCAGGATGACTCTCCTGTCTTAAGAGATTCCAAGGAGATGGTGGATATGCAGGAGGAAATTTTACAGGAAATTATTTCCCTGGACATTTTAGATGCAATTTGTTTTGTTTTGTAGCAATACAGCTGGCTTAGTACCTTGCTGTCTTCAGCACTCTGCCCTCCCAGGTGCACTAGAATGCTGTATAAAATATGTGTGGACACACTGAAACAAACACCCCAAGCTATTTTTTAATTTTTCAAGTGAACCAGTTTTTCTAAAATTCTGAATTAAACAAAGATAATACACTTTTACCAATAACTTAACACCTTACCTAAATATTATGTATACCTTTCCTTCCACAGCAATATAATACACCTGTAGAAACTATAACACCTATGAATCCAAAAGAGGAAAATTACCTATTTTTAGTCACTTCAATAGTTTGCTAGAGGACAAGACAGCTGAAGACAGAGATTACATGGCAAGAGAAGTTCAGTTAAGGAATCAGAGTAAAACAGTTAAGTTTTCTCAACTAGGAAACAGAAAGGAGAAATTAGCAAACAAAGGTGGACCAAAAAAGGGGTGATCAGTTAGCCCTAGAAAAATATGAGATAATGAAAACACTCCTCCTGAAGCCAGAGGAGTAGCAAAAGATGTAAAGAACAGAATATAGGATGCAGAGAAAAGGAACAAACAGAAAAAGAAAAAAGATCATTACAAAGAAAAGGTCAGCCTAAATGATGGAGAAATATTTCTCATGTAGGATGTACAAAACTGGCACTCAATAGGACATTAGCAAGCAGGAACAGCACCTTTTAAGAGAAAGACCAGAAAACAGACTTTTGTTTCAAGGGAGATCCATTGATCTTCTTTCACAATCAGCCTGCCAGATAGTAGGTAGAATTGTACAAGTCCAAAACCCTCAGAAAAGTACAAGAAACTGGCGATCAGGTGATTTCCACTGAAATTCTCTTATCCCTAAAGGTAGGTGAAATTCCAATAATACTGAAGAGCTCTCCAGGTGGTCTAAAAAACCATGAGGAAGTTTGATGACTTGGAAGCAGTCACAGGAACGTGATTCTTCCAGAAGGACAAGCTCCATTCACATAGTAGCAAAATTACCCTGCTGGCTTCAGAACGAGACAAATAAAGATTTTTAGTTAAATGATGGACTCATTTGAGGAAAGCTCATGTAATCTCTTAATCTGCTCTTAGTGTATGAGAGAACACTAGGAAAATTACTGCGGTAGATTAAAAAAAAAATCATCAGTGGGAAGACGGCTGAACAGCATGGTGGGAAGTATTAATACTGGTGAAGGTGGTAGTCAGATAAGCCGTAGCAAGATCTGGTATAATCACTCGGAAACGTCTGGTATTTCTGAAACTAAAGAAAGGCGAGCAACATAACGTAGGCATGAGAACAGATATAACACAATGGAAGAGCAACGACAACGCAGAAACAGGAATCTTATCTTTCCTCCTTGGCTGTTTTGGGCAGCGTGGTTGTGAGTTGAATGAGACAGATTATGCAACTCCATCGATAGACTGGAGCAAACAAGTCAGCCCTCCGTGGAAAAAACATGCCATTTTGAGAACTTCTGCAGGATGCCCAAACTACTCCATGAATCATTCTAGCTTTCAGCTAGAGTAATTACTCAATCATCAAATCAAAATATCCAGAAAATAAATTAATCCTTCAATAAAATTGTCATGAGATGGTGAACAAACAGAAATAGTTTAGCTAGATCCTCCAAAGAACTGGAAAGCTAATCTTTATATAACCTAGGTTTACAAACATGCAAGGAATAAGCACAAAGGAAAAGGCAGTCCAGCTTAGAAGAGCTCATTTTCACTACAGTTCACCTTTACTTTAGCCAACAGTGGGAAATGTCAGAAGTGACCTGAAGAATTTGGTAAGGAAATAAAAATTAGAGGAATCCTCTTCTCAAAGAAATTAAAAGTGGTATTGGTCTATCCTTACGCTAAACGCTCTTTGAATTACAGCAGTGTATTTCTAATGTATATAGTCGAGAGTTTGAATATCAAATATATTCAGTCAAAGACAGACAACTGGGGAAAAAAAGGAGACAGAAATCCTTTATCTCGAAGGGAAGAGATCAGAACAAAGACGGACAGAGAGCTGGGCTATTTCTTTTCTATCAGTCAGATCTAATAAATGACACCACTTCCCAAACACGCCTTGCCCCGCTTGCACCCTTAGGTCAGCACACTTACAACACTCCTGCTTTCCAAAAGGCGTGTCTATAGTGACTCACTGCTCGCTCGCTCGCACACAAGCAGACGTGGGATCCATCTCACCTATCCGCCCGCCCATCGCACCACTAAGGTCTGGTTATCTAAACTCCTGCTTCTGCCCGGGCAGGAAGATGGCAAATTCCAGCAGGTAATTAATTTCCCCCTGCCTGCCTCCAACGCCTGTCCCAGCAGGGGATGGCTCCTTCTCTAGATGCATGCCACCACTCCCTCCCGGTCCAACACCCAGCGTAAAGAACTAGCGTGTACTAGGCAACCAGCACAGTTCAAGTTCAGTGAACCCCCCCCCCAATATAATCTCCAGAGTTATGCCAGCAGTGAAGACAGTCAGAATCTGAAAACAATCTAATCTACCTGTTAAAGTTTACAAGAAAAGTGCATAATTTCAGTACAACAGTAAATTCAGATGTATAACCGCATCTTGCCTTTACTTTTCTTCCCTTAACAAAAAATATCCACCTTTTATCCAACTATGTCAATGCTAAAGTAATTAGGAAAAACTGTGGAAGTCAACGTACTCCTGAGTGTCATAAAAGAAGTACAGCAAATATGCTGAGACTAGCTTAATGATAGCAAATCAAACATTAAAAGTATTTAAATATTTTTTAATTTTAAAAAGTTTTTAAAACCATTTTCTTTTGAGATTGATTGTTCTTATATCTATTTACATAAAGTTTGTATTTTACTGGAGCATCAAAATGATGCAATTTTACAATTATATGGTTATAAGCCTAAGCATATATGAAAAAAAGGACTAGCAAAGAGAAATAAATATCAAAAGGGGAAAAATAAGTTTATTTTAAAAAGATGCAGAAAAACTTGACCACAAAAATAAGTACATTACAGTGTAATTACCTTCTTACAGATCCATCCACATCCCCTAAAGCACAATTTGAAAGACGAATCTTACATTCATACTTTTCGTGATACTTGTTCAGGTTTAACACACAATTTTCAATTATCAGCACGCTGTCCATACCTTAATTCACAGTGTCTGCATATAATGTATTGGAAACATAATTTCTCCTTGTGCCTGTGGGATGGAATTTCATTGCAGATCAATGGTCCCTTTATGAAAGGGGGGGACCTCCTAAATAGAAGGTTTTGGGGTGTTCCCTCCTCCTCCACACAGGAGGCTCTGCTCTATGCAAGGCATAACTCCATTAGTATCACTCTTTGGTAACATTTCCATAGTATTTCACAATGATCTCGTTACCTACAAGCACAACTGAAACATTTTAGATTTTTTATTCTATCTATTTTTACTTTTTTTAGATTCATTTCTAAATACATATTCCTAAAATACACTCATGATCTCTGTTTGTTTTTTTTTTTTTTTATTATTGTGATTATTTTATTTAAACCTTTCCCTTTCACACACTGATGCTTTTTAAAACTGTGAGCGATTCAGGGACATCATACCTTACACCATTGCACAAGGGCGGTAAGTGAATCAGTCCCACAAAGAGTTATGCCGTGATAAAAGCTGCATTACTTGAGAAACAGCATACTTGTAGTTAAACCAGGTATGGATTAAATTTTTGTGACAGCTTGTGCAGAATGTCTTTTAATCATCATCTTTCTCATAAGAAGTCCAACCACCAGTGATGGGAAGCAGCGATATGGAGTATATTTCTGTAGTTTTTAATTGTATGTTCCCACATATTAATAAAAAATATCCATTCTTTATGGAAAGGTAAATAAACTTTTAGATCAACTGCAAATCTGTCTTGTAAACAAGACTATAACAAGGTTTTATGTTAGTCATAAGTACACAACGTTCCA